GAGAAGCTACCAAGGAGATCGTTAGGGCTTCGCAAACCGGCGGCAGCATTACATTTCCCTCCTGCTTGAAACAGGTAATTTACTTAGATCCATGAAAATTATTATCTTCCTTTGCAAGTGGCAAACATATCAGAGTTGATTGTATTTCGGTGTTATGTGATTTTCATTATCTTTTGCATCAATTTCTATTTTTTCTTTAATTTTTGGGGACTTAATGGTGCTGGAAATCTAGGTTTCTGATTGATTTAGGAGAATGGCATGAATTTGTATCATATAGTTTTGGATTTTAATTAATCTGGGAATTGATAATTCTTCGGGAATTATAACAATTTAATTATGCATTTTGTTTTCTGGGGTTAATTTATTTTAACTTTATTGCTTTTAATGAAATTTATATCCGAATCTTTTATAAGTTTGATCTCATTAAAAATGCTTTATTTATTATTAGCCTGTTGAGAAAGTATAGTTTGTCTGAGGCTTATATTGGTGTTGCTTGCTGCTCGAATCAATTACTTAGGATCTGAGTTTTCATTTGCTCAGTTTGGTTGAAACAGAGGGCCATGTGGTAGTTAGGTTTTAAACTTTGAACCTGATAACCATTTTAGACATGTATTGGCTGTTGGAAGTGGAAAAGCGGTGAAACCTTAATCCTGGAACGGGAGATCTTTGTTGATTGTGGTGATTTGTCTGTACTTTTTACTTTCATTTTGACGCTAATTGTGCGAGAGATCTTTAGAAAATGGGGTGCATTCGGTTTTGTTGATTGTGTAGCCAAGTTTTTTGTTTACAGTTATTGGTTGATGAATTCGTCAAGTGGTTTGGAATTCACAATTTGTTGTTTTAACTTTTGCAGCCTGGTCCGCAGGATTCGCCAAATCAGTGTCTTATAAGGCGGAATAAAAGGACTTCAACTTTCTATCTTTATCTCGCTCTTACTTCATGTAAGTAATTATTGGTAGAATGATTTTTTCTAAAGAATGAAAATGTGGGATGGAGATCTCCACTAGACTTTCTTTGAGCTTTTTGATCAACTAAGTTGCTTTTTCCCTAATCGGAGGTCAACACGGTATTTTAATGGGGAAGTTGACAGGGAGGTTGGACATATTCCACTTTGTCAAACCTCTAAATTTACATTTTTCTTGATGGGGACACAAGTTTGTGCTTGTCTGGCTTCTGACCAAGTCAGCACGACTTATTAGCAAGTATTGACTTTTCTATCTCTTTTTTTATTTGAGAAAAAAATTATTGTAGTCTTAAATGTCGGCATAATTACATCCCAGCTGGTGGATAGAGTAGTAGGTTTTGCCTTTTGAAGGAAAAGAGGTATGTGAGGATTAGTCAATTAAAATAATTTGATATTTGTCCAAATTTATAAAATATTTGTTCATCTAAAAATGTTTGTAATATATTTAGCTTTTCATGGTGGTGCTACTATGCCTTTAACTTGAAGAGAAGGCTGATATAGGGATATATCCCATTGCATAAGAAACATTGTTTGAGATTTAATCTAGACATCTATCAAAAAGTTTATCAGTTTGAGATTCATCTTGTCAAACGTAAAAATTCTTGGCAAGTGGCAACATACTTAACAAAGCTCTATAACACCTTTATGCCAAGTGAAAATAAAATGTGTCACACGGTATGGATGATGTATGACAGATTTTAGCAATCTGTCTAGAAGCTATATGGTGGATTTAGGGTTTTATGGGATTCAAAAGATTTAACACTCACTCCAACCCAACCACCAGCTGCGCACCCCCCCCCCCCCCCAAAAAAAAAAAAAATGATTTCAGAGTTGTCTTGCTGTGCTGGTTTTTAGGGATTTTGAAAGAACTTAGGATTAGGGGTGATTTAGGGTTTGCATTGAGGGGCAGCAGGATTATGTTGGCTGTAAACAGTAATCTTCTCTCTCTTCCTGCACTCTCCCTTTTGTCAGTTTTTTAAACACTGCTTAATATTTATGGTTGTTATTTGAATTATTTGAATTTTATGTCTTCTGTAGCGTTCGTCGACAAGGGGAAGTTTCTTTTAGCAGCAAGGAGGTATAGAAATGGTGCTCATATTGAGTACATAATATCCCTTGATCCTGATGACATATCCCAAGGAAGTAATGCCTATGTTGGAAAGTTAAGGTAAGAGATTCATATCAATATCAAATGTGGGTGTGAAGTTTTTGATATGTTGCTTTACTTTTCTTGAGTTCAGACTTCAAAAACTGCAAAATAGTTACTGTGTTTGATTATAAATTAGAATTTTTCATTATTTACATGCATCTTTTGGAATGAAAATTCTCTGGGGGCTGTAAATTATTTAAGGATATCAAATATCAAGAAGGCAAAAGTTGATATCCTTCTCCCTATTCTGCAATACAGAGCATGGTTTGCTTTTGGCGTGCTGCCATTATCTGCCTGCCTCTTTCACTTATTTTTGAGTAGTCTTTTCTTTTTCCTGTTTTGCACCTCATGCAAGTACATTGCATACAATTATTAAATTTGTTGATCAAATGGTATGGAATTCCTTGGGATCTTTTACGATTACAAATGGTTCTGGTTGAAATGGAGCAAATGGTGGCAATAGCACCATTGATATTTTTTTTAAACTGATTGGTGAAGAAATTGCATTATCAATAGTTATTGGCACTTGACCCCTTTATTTGCTGCATTTCAAGTAGAGTTCCTTCTAGAATCATTCTCTGGCATTTTAATGCAAGTCCAAATTTTTGCAGTTCGGACTTTCTTGGCACCAATTTTACAATCTATGACAGCAAGCCTCCACACAGTGGTGCAAAGCTGTCAAGCAGCAGAGCTAGTCGCCGATTTGCAAGCAAGCAAATAAGCCCACAAGTTCCGGCTGGTAATTTTGAGGTCGGACAAATCTCTTACAAGTTTAACCTCTTAAAATCAAGAGGTCCTAGGAGGATGGTTTGCTCAGTGAAATGCCCATTGTCTGGAGAAACTGTCAATGACAAGCATCCTGATAAATCCAAGATGAAGATTACCGAATCTGCTGCCTCTGAATGTACAATTTTGAAGAATAAAGCTCCAAGATGGCATGAGCATTTGCAGTGCTGGTGCTTAAATTTCCATGGTCGGGTAACAATAGCATCAGTAAAGAACTTTCAGTTGGCTGCAACTGTTGACCAGAGTCAAACAGGACGAAAAGGAGATGAAGAAACGGTTCTCCTTCAATTTGGGAAAGTTGCTGAGGATACATTCACCATGGATTATAGGCAGCCATTGTCTGCCTTTTTGGCTTTTGCCATATGCCTTACAAGTTTTGGCACAAAATTGGCATGTGAGTAGTTTATTTTTATGTATTATATATAATTATAGTAACAAGTTCTGCTGCATGTTTAATATAATTATTTTGCTTAAAGTCGCTTTCAAAAGTTTTGAACAGCTTTGGTTTGACAGAACGCGGCACTTGTTGTAAATGCTTCCGTTTGTCTTATGATATTTTTGAAATTATTGCATGCAAGGAAAAGTTTTAGTATAAGCTTATTTTGTTTATAGATATTCAAGTATATTGTACAATTTTTGGTATCGTAGAGTACCAAGATGGGCACTTGAGATTTCAGTTATGGAGAACATTTCGTAGTTCCGAGGGGTGAGAGGTAATGCGTTCTTCTTGGGCAATCAACGCGTTGGGTCATGTCGAAGGCAAAGGCTGGCTATCCAAGCTGATTTTCTCCATCAGCCCATATAATGTGGTGAAGCAAGATTGATCATTGTCAACTGTGTCAAGATAAGTTCAAAACCGTGTTGGAGATAGAAATGCAGGTAAATTTTTTCATTTCTTGCAAATGGTGGTGATGACTGATTGATCATTGAATGCATCGATCTTATATTCTACTAAGGACTTGATGGTCCTGCAAGATTTTATCAAATCCAGTTTGACATTTCCAGTAACAGTAGTATTCCAGCGTCTTACTGCATCTGCATGTTCTATGATTAACCGTGGAAAGCTATTGGTAGCAGAAACAAATGAGACAAAGCATCCTTGAGCTCATCAAATGAATGTATTTTGATCAGATAATTCAAGATGAGAGGAAAAATAGTAAACATTGCAGCCAATGACATGCTAGATTTACTAACAAAGACAGATTTATATTCAACTCAGAACGTAGGATAAGTTTGCACACACAAGCCATAATAACGGGGTAGAGAAGCTCATGTACATAACCGATTTTAAGACTCGAGAAACACTGACGATGAGTAGTGTTAAAGCTTTATTTGCTGTTTCGACAAATGAATTGCCTCACTTCTTCCCTCGAAGCTTGCAACCAAGAGCCCTCTCTAATTTGCCAATTATTTGCTGATTTGGAATGGCTTTTCCAGATTCATACTCTTGGATGATTTGGGGTTTCTCATTGATCATCTGTACAATGATGACAAACGTTTGATAAGAAAACAAAGTAAACAAATATGAGATGCTCATCACCAAAAGCACACATTTCAGACCTCGATAAATACAGGGAGAAAGGAGACAGACCTGAGCAAGCTGAGCCTGGGTAAGTTTCTTGTCCATACGAGCCTGCATGATGGCTTTCTTCAGTTCCGTTGGTACTCTTTCATCTGTTCACAAAGTCACACAAGAAAAAGAATTTCAGAATGGTGCTACCCACACACGGTAGAGTGCTCATAGTATGGCCAAAATACAGGGGAGCTCCATGTGTCTTAACTAGATAAGAGACATGTGGTCAACAGAAAAATTAAAGCAATAGACTTAAGCACCAATATAACAAGGGAAAGGAGACGTCAAACGAAGCTCCATAGTATTGTTAAAGAACTTGGACATAAAAGTCTCAAGTTATATATCTCTTCCAAGGTTTTGCCCAAAAAAAAAAAAAAGACATCTCTTCCCAGCAAACATATGGGAGCAAGCAAATAGATTAAACCAATTTTGGATACAATCCAATACCCAACATGGCAGTATCTTACAAAATGCAAGAAAGAAAAGAAAATTTGGATTCGACTACTTACGAGCAAGATTCTCTGTTTCTTCATCGAGCTTTCTTGTGTTCAAAGTAGTACTACTAGAGGCAGCCTTGTTCGTTCCAGCAGTAGCTGCAGGAAGCAGTTAAGACATAAAAATATGAGTATCACCTAAACCCTAAAACTCAAAGAAAGGAATTATATTTTCTTTCTTGATATATACATCAATGAATTATAACATTCATACTCACAAACCCTAGAGCTCCCGTAAATTAATTATCCAATAATTATAAAAATAAATTAAAAAATTATCAAAAAAAAAAAAAAAAAACCTAGGGTTTATTCCAATGATCCAAAGCAATTTTGGTTCATGACGGCTGAAATATTTGATCTTCCTAGAAGTGGTGATTTTCTCCAACATATGCAAAGATAAAAAGAAGAGGGAAAAGAAAAATGATACATTTTTTGAGGGTCTCGATCTCGGCACCGGCACGGCGAGCGGCGTTGACGACCTTCTCGTCCTTCTTGGCGGCGGCGTTCGGCGCCTTCTTCCGGATCACCACCGGTTCCCAGTCCTGTGAAATCGGACCTATGCCTGCCATTCTCTCTGGTTTTGAGGTTTTCTTTCTTTTGCCAAACAGAATCTCTTTGGTTGATCTTGCTTGAGATGTGCGCGGAAAATCACTGTAATATATATCTTCGGTGACGTGGCAACAAAATCCCTAGGATTTTGAATGTAAGGGCTGGGCCTTCAAATTGGACCATTTTTCTGCCATAAATTGGACTTGATTTTGGGCTTTCACTGATTTTTATCTGCAATAAGGTGGGAATTTTCAATTACAATATTTGGTATTTACCTTAAAATTTTTTAAGTATAATTTATTAGACTTGTCACTTATTCAAAGACTCAAAAATCTATATTTGATTTCTAATTTAATAGGTATTGGATAGCTTATGAGTTTATATTTGTATATTTGATTTAGGAAAAGAAAAAGTCTTGCACGAGTTACTATTACTGCATATGTTATGTGTTAAACTTGGGATTTGTTATTTATATAAATTGTTATTATTGTATATGTAATTTATTTAACTTATAAGGCTAACTTAACTTTTATTTTTATTTTTTCATTTTATTACTTTTATTTTTAAAAATATTGTTATTATATTGATATTGAACTACAATAATTGTTATTTAATTTAATACTTACAAGTATGCTATTTTCATATATATCCATTATTTACCTAATTTTTTTATAGTTTAGGTATGGTATTTACTCAAATGGATAAAATACTTGCAAATAATAAGTATGTCCGTACCCAATACTCACCCCTACCCTACAAGATCCAAAGGAGGAGCAGATTAGCAAAAGATCAACAAACAAACCTTTGTTATACTGGAATGGTTATGATCACTGTTGGTTTTGTTATGGCCATCAAAATAGTAAAATTTTTATCTAAGTTTATCTGTTACAAATAATTAATAAATAATAAAATAATTAATATTTATTATTTAACAGATTAAAATCAATTTGTAAACAAATATTTTTAACATCTTAAAAAACTATGTAAGGAAATAACTATATATTGATAAAATTATAAATAAAATTAATAACTTTAAGAAAAACAATAGTGGCTTGAACCTCAACCTTGTTTTACAAACTAAGAAAATTACCTTTTTTTTTTTTTTTTTTTGTTATACATTTGATGATAACTTATATAGCAGTTAATAACTTTCTGTTTCTTAAATCTCTTTTCACTCATTTAAGGATTCAAATAAAAAACATTTAATTTGTAAATTCAACCTCTTAACTGCCCCGAGATGTTCCCTAAAGAACAAAGATCAATAAACTCATGATTTTGGCTAATGTTTAAAGGAAATTCTAGTGCCTCATAAGAACATTTACGGTGTGATATTTAAAGTCTAAATTGAGGATATGTTTGGTTTGAGAAAAATGAATGGAAAAGGAGAGAAATTGAAGAATATCAACTTTTTTTTGGTATATCACAAAGTTAACTACTTGATAATATAGATATTAAATCTTTGATTTTGATCCCAAATTAATGTTTTTAAATTAGTAAATGCCAACTTACTGAAGCTCTTATTGGTGGAAGAAATATTTTTCATTTGGTTGAGTTAAAATGGATAATGGAATTAAAAGTAAAAAAGAAAATAGAGAAAACCTCTTCCCTAACCTTCCCTACAATTTTTCTTTTCTTTTCTTTTCTTTTTTTTTTTTTATAAATAAATCAAGGAAATGCCTCCCTCTCCACCCTTATGATTTTTTCAAACCAAATATAACTTCAAGCCTGTTTGGTTAAAATGTCATTTTATTAAGAAAATTTTTACTACGAAATTGGTTAAGAAAATATTGTATATAAAGTTCCTAAGTTTTATAATGAAATTTTGGTCAAATTTTAACTTTGTTGTGTTTAGTAAGAAATTAATATTGAAAAAATTAGTAGGAAAAGTTGTTAAGTGAACCTCTAGTAGTTATAGGAAAACTTTTTTCTTACAAAAAAATAATGTGGGAAGAAAACTTTACATGTTGGAAATTGAAAAATAAAAATTAACAATGCCACTTTTACTCTCATTTTATTGTAATATTAAAATGTAAAAATATATTAATAATTTTGTAAGAGAGAAAGTTTAAAGAACTTTAAGAAGAAAGTTTCTCCCAACCAAACACCCCTGAAAGTATCAAGCCAATAAAAGACACCATTTTTTCCCCTTAAGGAAATTAGAGATTATTATTGAAGAATGGAAAAAGAGATTACATTAGAATCTCTAAAACATGGCACTATAGCGTAAAATGAAAGTATAACCTACAACAATTACAAATTTAAGCTATACCCATAACCAATTTAAACAATTAAGTAAAGAGAGTCATTTGCACTTAGAAATTAATTTAACAATGGTCGTATGAATATAGTAGGGCTACGGATGTAGAAAGAAAGTAACTGTAAGCATCTTGAGCTTCTAGACATTCACACTTATTAAGCTAGTTTCTTGGGATGAGCATGTGATTGAGCTAACAATAGTTCTCACCCACATAGCTCTACCATATTCACAATTCAAGCAGCACTTAGCTCAATGGGTCATGACCCTCGTATATTCAAACGAGAGCCACACTGTAAGCTCTGAGACAAAAAGATTTCACTGTAATTGATCCATGATGAGCCTGGCCGAAACAAACATCATCAACACCACCACAAGCCAAGGTTGCGGTAAACTTCTGCACCTCATGCTAAGGTTCCGTGTTCGAACTAAATTAACACTTCAACATGACATGAATTTTAATGTGATTTTTTTTTTAATTAATTAAGGATACTTCCTATGTTGCGGTAAAATTTCTTCGTGTCTCCAAAGACATCCAATGGAGAAATGATTAATGAGCATAGTTTTAATGTTCTGTTATCCTTGCCCATCTAGGGAGGTTTTGGTATGCAGGACACAGGATTTTTATCATCCCTCTTCATATTGGACTGGGATAATTCAATATGGCTTTTACAAACGCATAATTGAGGTTAAGGGTGGTGATTATAAATTATCATTTGCATCAAAAAGTCATCCCACCATCCAAAATGTTCATTCTGCAATGTTAACTTTCATCGTCTACAAAATTTCATTGACAGCATATCTTCATTTCAAATTGCAGTCTTCCTTCATGTGACCAATACGGGAATCATTTTGTTGAATATCAACTTCATTTTCTAACTCCACTTTCCGTTGAATGATTCTGTTGACATATTTATTTATCAGCAAAGAACAAACAATTTCTAACTTAGATGCTACCAAAATGCACATTGTATGAGCGGAAAGTGTGGTTCATTCTTGTAAAACTTGGTTATAGAAACTAAATCTCAAAGTGAACAGCATTCAAGGATTTGAGCTTTTCATTTTTGTTTATTGGGAATAGGGGGAGGCCTAGTTCAAACAAAGAACTTGGCACACTATCCCATAGGGAGCAGGTGACATTCCACAACCATAGGTAATGCATGCAAGGATTTGTCAATAGAAGGTAAAACATTGTGAGAGGAAAATGTTAAGAAAACATAAACATTTCGATACTTTAAAGCCATAAAGGGATGAAGAAATTTAGAACAACCAGTAAACAGAACAATAAACTTACCAGATAATTCACTGTTGCAGTGTTGCCTCCTCATTCGCTATCAAATCTGGAGCTACAGTGTCAAAAGTATTGTCTTTGTTGCAGTCTTCATTTAAAGAACTCTGAAATGCAAGCCAATCAAGAATTTAGAAAAAGGAAAAGATAAGAAAACTATAATCCAATATTCCTCATAGTTTAGAGCAGTGCAAAGTAGAACCTTCAATTTGTCTGAGTTGCTAACCTCACTGGTTATCAACATCTCATTCTTCTGCAGTGCATCAACATCCTCTGTCAAAGTTGATTCAGAATTTGTATTGTTCTTAGGAGCACCTAACTCTATCGGGTTACGAGAAGTGTTGCTGTCAAGCCCAGACTGCAATAATTTGACTCCAATCAGTAACGGACCACTATACCAGTTTTAATGTATCTGCGGACATAAATGGTTTACCTCAGGCATGCCTGACTTTGTCAGTAAACAACTGAGAGGTTTGCCCTTTAACACAATTGCTGGAAGATGTTCAATATCACAACCAAGCACCACGCAAATAACCTGTCCAAAAGCTCTGTGAGCTTGCCTTTTCTTTGTGTTTGATATAGCAGTGCAATGCTGAAGAAGCCCCAGACAATCTTTAAACCTTTTCCAAACCTTCTTCCCAATTGCACCACAGACCAAACAATAGAACTCACCGCCTCGAACGTTATTCTCATAGTAACTCCTGAGCTCACTGTTCTCAGTAAAGAGTCTCAGAAAGAAGTTATACACTTCAGATTCTTTAGATCCATCTTCATCCATCAAATCATCTTCATCATCATCTTCTTCGCTGTCATCCTCATCACCATCTAATCCAGCAGATTTAACAAAGAATTGTCTGCAAGCCTCATAAGCCCTCTGCTGTAACTGCAGCATGTTCAATCTCACTTGTTCTTCAGCAGAAGTGACATTAGTCTCTGGAGCTGTGCGAGGCTCAAAGGTGGGCCACTCCATAGTTTTTGACAGGGACTCTCTAACAGGCTTTATGCTTGGCCATTCAGTGCTTGTAACCTGTGATGAGATCAATCCCCGCATTGCACACAATCCATAACAAATCTTAACTTCATGTTACCAGGATCATTAGGGATAGGATAGGAGGTAAAGAACTATATTAGAAGAGGCAGGAAGAGAACCAAAGGTACCAAGGAAGGAGGAGATAGGATAGGAGGTAGAGAACTATTTTAAAACAAGCAGGAAGAAAACCAGCAACTTGGCAAAATTTGTTTGAGAATAATGTTACCTCAGACTTGCATTAACTGGTTGGTCAAGTAAATCTAAAAAAATACAAGTATCCATATTCTCTAGGCTTCTAAACCTTATAACACTCTCTGTATTCTTCTTCCTCCTTTTACCCAATGATTAACAAGATACAAATACTTATGGATCATTAACCACAGTGTTCTCAAGGATATACTATGAACCTGATGAATTGAGGTAACAAGTAATTCAAATGCATTTGTATTTCCACACTTAAATAATTAAGATCATTAGAACCCATAAAGTACATATTTAATAACTGAAACTTATCCAGCCCAATTGCCAATCGATGTTACATCTATAGACAATGGTACGCATCATGTTTGTTTCTATTTCGAAATAATTATTAGATTGACTTGTGGACAAGATTCAGGTTTTTCATTAAAATGAGGACTTACCAAGCCTATCATAAGAGACAAGTTGTCAGAACTGAATGCAGGAAGATTTGTTGTACCATTATGGTGCTAACCCAAATCAGACATATTCCAAGAGTCCATGAGAAATGACAGCAAAAAAATTACATATACAAATATACAACAAGGATCTTACCACACAATCAACGGCTATTTCTTCATTTGATTGAATACCTGAAGTTCCAACTACGAGCTTTTCAGCACGGCCACGGGCATTATTTTCTTCCAAGGAACCCTGCAACCAGAAACTACAAGCATTACCAATCCCCAACCTCAAATTACAGAAAATATCCATAAAAATTAACAAATAATCCTGAAGTCCTGCCCAGCACTAACCACAAAAGTCATCAATTCACCAGTACCCTGAGCAACAGTACACACCTCTTTTTCAACTGACTCACCACCACTGTCGTTAACAGAATCCATAGTGCCCTTGACAACATTCAAATCTTCCTGCAGAATTCAACCCAACTTGGTTTGTGAAACACAAAAATTAAAATAACTCACAGAAAACATATACCTGTGTCTCCTTTGAATTTCCCAGAGAACGACTAAGGGGCTCCCCCTTCAGCACAACAGCAGGCAGCCTATCAATGTCCCATCCAAGTACCTTACAGATAACCTGTCCAAAAGCTCTGTGAGCTACTCTTCTTTTTGTTTTTGATATTGCCATTGAATGCTGCATGAGTCCTAAACAACCCTTGTAGTTCTTGCCAATCTTTTCACCAATGCCACCACAAACCAAGCAAAAAAACTCCCCACATTCATGTTTCATCTCATAGAAACTCCTCAACTCTCCATTGGTAATGAACATATCCAGAAAAAACTTGTACTCTTCACTCCCATCAATCTCATCCTTCTCCAGCAGGTAATCTTCATCTCCACACTCAAAATCCTCACTCTCTCCATCATCGTCTCGATCACGATCAACTCTATTTTTGAAGAACCCTCGGCAGGCATCAAGAGCCTTTTGCTGTATTCTCATTGATGTCAATTTGGTCTGCTCTTCATCTGAAAGGGGTCGACTTGGCTGATCCTGCTTGGGTTTAAATTGGGGCCAAGTCGCTGGAACATCTGCCTGCGGCTTAACAGGCCATTCCGGACCTGGGTCTGCTTGCAGTACTGGCACAGATCCTGCCGAAGCATTCTTCTTGTTGGTCGTGTGAATTCGGTTTCTGGGTCCGTGTCTCCTCTTGAAATTGGCGGTGGGGTTGGTACGATGGAGGTTCATTGATGGATTATGGATGTAATTAGGCCTAGGGTTCTGGTTTCTGGGAGGACCCTGATGCCAAAGACCGTGGAGGTATATAACTTCATTCCTCAATCTCTGTTCATCATAAGGGTCCATCGGAGAAGATAAAGCAGGCGTTTTTCTAGGCTTTCTGCGAAGATTTTGCTAAAAGTTACAGGCGCAGCTCAAAATTTTCCATTTTTAGAGATAAATTGTTAAAATGTAGAAAATATCCTTTTTACCCTTAATTCATTTATTTTCCTTCATATTTTCTCGGTAAGCAAACACATCATCGACGCATACCATCAAAATTCGTGATTCAGCAAAAGCCCGGGAATTTACTACCGCCGTCGGTAAGATTTGGCGGGAAAATGTTGGAGAAAGCCCTTGATTTATGCTAATCTTCTCCTTCATTTGTACCATCACCGGCAGTCCTGCAGAAGACCGAACTACAATCCCCAAACCTTTTTGGATTGTTTCAGCAGCCTCTAGAACCCGCCAATGTCAACCAGAGTGGTGATGGAGGACGCGAAATCAGCCCGGTCATCGAGCAAAAAGGGCGGCGCGGCCGTGTGGACTGCTTTTCTGAGAGAATTGAGTCCCTGGAGACAATCAAGGGCTTTTCCTATCTCGAGGTTGGCACGATCAAGGGCATTCAACCAGAGGTCTTGGGGTTTTATGTATGGTTGATTGGTTTCGTTTTTATGGTTTTAGAATGCTGAACCAGAGGCTTTGAAGATATTGTTAGACGTGCCAAATACACCTCCGGAGCAGGTATTTAAGTTTTGATTATGGTTTTCTGGGTATGAGAGAGATGCTCTATCTTTGAGATTACATTTGAGCAATAGATAAATATTGTAGATATTGCTTGAAGTTATAAAAACAGTCCTTGGATAGTTATAGATTGGATATAGAAAAATATTGGTAGATTCAAATCTCAAATCAAGGGGAATGCAGAGTTATGGTAATTGCATTTCTTATGAGACTTTGAATTCTTTTGTTGCTTTTCATGAATGATATTTCTTGAAAATTTGTTCTTGAATTGTATCTTTAAGTGTCAGATCAGTGGTAGGAATGGGAGGTGATCAGTTCGCTGGGATTTTACCTTGAATTTATCGAAGAAATTGAGAGGGGGATTCAATTCCAACACATTCACCCAAATTGGAACATAGAAATTCTCACTAAAGAGCTCAATTATAGAAGTCTTGATTCTTATACTGGCTAGGATCTGTAATAACAACTTTTTTTTTTTTTTTTTTTTAATGTAGTTAAGTGGTTGCTAATTTATCTTCAAGGTTTCTTTTCTATAAGTTACTGCTCAAGATATTTGGGAAGATTACAGGAATATCTCATAAATGCAGCAGGTGTTACTTTAGGGGTTAAAGGATCAGTAAGAAAATTGCAAAATCTACCAGCCATTCTCATGTGCATAGCTACTTTTAAGGCACTGTCAATCTTTTTGGATTGTGTTACAAATGCAAATGCTTTCTCTTATTTTTGCCCCATGCCTGCATTCTGTGCTTTGACTAGGTTTTGCAGTTGAAATGTCAAGTTGGAATCTAAATGCATTTATCTCTAGCAAATGGAAATGAGTGATGAGAACATCAATGTTCCTGATATATGCTTTTAACAGAAACTGAAAATAAGAGGCAGCTACAATCAGGAGGGATTTCTTTTATTTAGGTTGCAGGCAGTGAGCAAACTGCAATTTATAGGGAAATTTTATTTGTCTTTCCTCAAATAATTAAATCCACATTTGGACTAGGTTAATTCCTGCAAATTGAAATTAGGAAAATGAACTTAAATTGGATCATTATGTATCTGCTCAGTTTTTATTTTTTTCCTTCTCTGTTTTAAGGAAAACTTCTCAATCCCCATGTTTGTGACTGTATTTGTATCAGTTTAAAACCAAAAACCTCCAATATTTTGCATCACCATGTTAACCATGTTTCGAGGACAGTTAAAGACAAGGAAGAGGAAAGAAATCCAAAGAAAATAAAGGTGTGCTAATGGTTATCCTTTTCTCCTTGCACCTTTTTAAAGGGGAATTTTTGTTTTACTCGTCAGAGTTATTATTTATGTGTAAAGGATATTTCTTTCAGTTTCTAATATCTGTTTTCCTGAGATGGAAATCTTATTTTTAATTTTATGTGTTTATTCTTAGTTGTCAACAGCTAATGAGAAAGCTGAGTTCAGCCCTTTCAGTGTCTGATATCTAGGACAAGTATAAGGTATGATGCATGTATGCTACACTAATATATTCTGTGCAGTAGCATGTCAAATGAGATTCCTTTCTTGTAATATTCAAAGAATTTACTCTTTATCTGTTTTTGATGCTGCATTGTATCCAAAATGGAAGGCATTCCAGACAATCATGTTTCTTGAGAGGGTGAGTTACCAGTATTAAAATGAAAAGTAAAAATGATCAGCTTAACTGCTTCCCTGATATTGGAAAGACATTGTTTTTAATAACTGCTCTCATCTTGCAAATTTTATTTTTCCTGATTAGCTATTATTCTTATATGGTAGTAATTAGCAATATCTGCATTATTTGGTGGTATTTAAATGATTGTGATAGCGCCCTCAAACTTGTCAAAGATGTGAAATTGACTTTTAGCCCCTGAAATTTTATATGGTTCAGTGAAGCCTTCAAGATCTATATATTCTGGTTCCATTGATTCTAACTTTTGATTAAAAAATAGTTTTCAATGTATTTCTTTTCAGAACTTGGAGAAATAGTCATTCCCTCTTCCTAACACAGCCATTTTCGAGTTTTTCTTTATTCTATTGTTTTTGGTTTCTATTAAGGCTTGCAATTGCCTTCTTCTTTTTTTTTCTTTTTTTTTTTTTTTAAGTCATTAATTTTTTTTGTATGCATAAACACCAACAAAGTAATTTAATTGATATGAAAATTTTAATTCATAATAATTGGGCTCAATAACACCAAAACAGAAGCATAAGGATAATTAAAAAAAAAGGAAAGTGGATGGAATTGCATATTCCATAAAGTTTGGCAATAAGGCCATCTAATCTGATGTTCTTACCTTAAGTTTTCTCGCATACACTTGTTGGTTTGGAGTACTTAAAGACATTCGTCTGTTGATTAGATTGATCATTTTGTAGGATGATGGTCTCCAAGATTCAGAGAAAATTGCTGCCTTTGATTTTGATGATTGTCTAGCCAAATACATCTGTTAAAAGGTATTTTAATTGATGTTTGTTAATCAGCATTGTATGAAAATGTATAGTTCTGACGATAAGCATTGCCCATTAGATGAATGAACAAGGAAGTTTACAATTTCTCTCATGATGGATTATTTTTTTTTTTTTTTTTTTTTTTTTTTTTTTTTTTTATCTCTGATGATATCACAGACATTAATTTTTTATGCCAATGCTTGAAGTGAAGAGCTAATCATTAGGTCTTAGGTAAGTGGACTAAAATACTGTACATTAATTGTAATTTTAACAAAAAAGGAATTGAAGGTGGGATGTTTGAGTTGATGGTTGAAAAATTCATTGGCATGATAATTTAGCTTAGGTGTTCATCAAGGTTGAAAACCTAAAGATGATGTTAGCCATAAAATTGTTAGTTTCCAGACGTATAGGTAATTCTAAGTTTTCCACCAAGTTGTAAGGGATGATTTTGTAAATTAGTTATAAAACCAACTATTGTTTAAGGCACTAAGTTGTAAGAGTGAAATCAACTATAGTTTAAGGAACTGTGTGGTAAGAGAGCTTAATCATTGAATGACTTAGCTGAAATCAGAATGTTTAGATTAATGTTTGGTCATAATTAAAGAAAAGATAAGATAAGAAGTGAAGATAACCTTTAGAAGGTTGGGCGTGGGTACAAATAGTTAAGTAGAACAAGGGAGAAGAATAATGATTTGACCTTGTGGAACTTAGACATAGTTCGTAAGATGGATAGAATCAATAAAAAGATGCAGTAATTGGCCAAAGATTATATGAATTGTAGTAGTACATTAGAACTTATCTTTTTTAGATCTTTTTGTAAGAACAGGTTTTATGATTGAATGCAGAATACAGGAAAAAGATTCAAGTAAGCAACCCCTAAAGGATTGAAAGTCTCTGTCGAGTTCACTGTAGAATATGAGCATGACCCGCTAATTACATTTTTCTTATTTTTTATTTTTTATTTTTAGTTTGTTACTCGAGATTATTGCAAACTAATGTTGACGCAGTCTGCCGTCTTCAGTGAAATGCTTATGGACTTGCTCTTGGAAATGATTTACCAAGTTAAATTAAATTTAAAAAATTAATCTGAGATTTGATTCTACTAATTCAATACCAAATGATTGAGAAAGTCTAAAAAGAAACCTATATTCTATCTGAAATTCGATTTTACTAATTTTTTTCCCAATTTATAACTCCTTGTGCAGTTCCTTATTCTGAATATATTTTTCATTTTATCCCTTTTTGCTTCTCAGATGCGTTTTCAAGAGATTTTAATTACTGGGAAAAAGTGCTAAACATACAAAAAGCAGTAAATTAGCTATTATTAAACATCATGGTTTGAGGAAATTGATAACTTATAAATTGCTTTTAGCTTCCAGAGTTCGAGCAGATGGTTGGTCCCTTTTGTATCCTTCATTACCAGAGACGCTGCGGACTCATTATAATTATGGATACAAGCTGGTTTTGTTTCTTTTCGTACCGAATGTCCCACTTTATTTTCTCTGAGTTTTCATTCACCCGCCCTTACTTATTGACTATTCATTTTTCAACTGGAAATTGAAATTCGGTTTCTACCATTAACAGTAAATCTTTACCAATGAATACGATACTGAACGCTGGAAGAATAAGAGACAGATAGCTGTGGACTCAAAAATTGGACGTCTCAACAATTTCATCACGTGAAGGTCCTAATCCAGGTTACTTCATTTGCATTTCTCTGACTAATCACAATCTCCATGTAGTTTCTTTACTTTTTAACATGGGAACAATGATATAACAAAATTTATATTTTCCTGCATTGTAGATCCATTGTGTTGGTGATGCTGTAGGGAGACCAAATGAACAGGGATGCCGATATAAAATTTGCAGAGGTATATTTCAAAAACATGTTTTAAAGCATTATTTTTTATTTGTCATGTATTCTTTCAATTTTTGTCTTTCTATTTGATAAGATTGCTTCCCTCTCATAGTCTGTTAAGACTATAATACAAAATGCTCGATCTTAGCCATCACACTGATTTCGCCTATAAAAACTATATAGTGATTAACACAATTTATTGGAGAACAATCAATTTTGTTCTTCCATAGAGTGTTTCAGAAACTAAGGTTAAGTTCAATTGGATGGAATGACTATTCCTTGGTCAGTATGGAAAAATAAAGTAAAATAAAGAAGAGTGTTTCACAGTCTAGAAGATAAGAATTAGGTTGGATATTTTCTTTAAATTAGTGAA